ATGGGGTTTGGGTTGTAGTGTTTCACAGGAAGAAAAGAAACTGGTTGCAGCAGTATTAAAGAGAAGGTTGAGAGAGATGGAAAAGTCAAAGATGGAGAAGGCAGGAGTCCGGACAGGCCACCCGTGTGGAACCAGAGCCCACAGGCCGGTGGCAGGGCCAGCACGCGTGGAGGAGGCTGCTGAGGGTGTGGTGTGAGAGCCAGCTCCAGGACCGGGGACGGCTGGAGGAGGTGCTGAGGCTGGGCACGGTGATTGTCCTGGGGTGCCTTTCATCACTGTAGATTGTCCAGAAAGACAGAGCCAACGGTGTGTGTGTGTGTGTGTGTGAGAGAGAGAGAGAGAGAGAGAGACAAAGACAAAGACAGAGACAGAGAGAAGAGGGGAGGAGGAGAGGGGAGGGGAAGGAGAGGGGAGGAAGGAGATTTATTTTAAGGAATTGGCTTCCACACGACGGAGGCTGAATTCAGACCAGGGAGAGCTGGTTGTATAATTCTAGTCTGAGTCCGAAGGTCTGGGAATCAGGAGTCAGTGATGTAAGTTCCAGTCCAAGTACTCGTTCAAAAGGCAGGACACTAATGTCTCGGCTCAAAGACAGCCGGGCAGAGAATAGTTCTGCCTTATTCTGTCTTTAATTCCACTGAGACCTTTGACTGACCGGCGGAGGCTCAGCCACACTGGGGAGGGCAGTCTGCTTTACTCAGCCCACCCATTCACACACCAGAATAGTGTTTGACTAACTGTCGGGGCCCCCATGACTCAGTCAAGTTGACCCATAAAATTAACCATCACAACTGCCTCGATTACATGTATCATCTTAATATATTGGTCTTACTCTCCTCAATTATAAAATGAAGGGTGAACAAGATTATCTCTCAAGGTCCTTCTATTTATAACTTTTGTGTTTTAAAGCAAAATTCCAAGTTCTTGGTGTGGAAACATCTTCTTAATGGAGTATAATTCAGAAACCGCACCTGTGAATCTGCAGATCTTAGAAATTGATGATTACACTCAGGGTCTGACTATCACTCTCTCCTTACCTGCCCCCCCAACCCCCCCCCAGTTATAAAGCTTTTGATAGAACACTTTCAACTGGAGCGCCTGGGTGGCTCAGTTGGTGAAGCGTCTGCCTTTGGCTAAGGTCATGGTCCCAGGGTCCTGGGAACGAGTTCCGCACTGAGCTCCTTGCTCTGTGTGGAGCCTGCTTCTCCCTCTGCCTGCCTCTCCCCCTGCTTGTGCTCTTTCTCTCTCTCCCTTTCTCTCTGACAAATAAATAATTAAAAAAAAAAAAAGTGCACCTTCAGCACTGCTGCTCTAGGAGCCTCTCATTAACACACAGTTCCGGAAGGTTCCTGAACGGCGGGTCCCAGCTCTGGTTGCAGAGGCTCTGCTTTCACTGCGCTTAGGTGGTGCTGGAGTGGTGCCCTCTTGGGTGAGCTCGTCCTGCGGGTTCAGGAAGTGAACTTGCCCTCAGGGAATGCGCTCCTCCCTGTGGCCTTTCTTGACTTCCCTCCCCACCCACACCAGCGCCATGAGGACCAGGGCCCCTGCTGCTGTCACATCGCAAGTGCTCCTGCCATGGCGCTCTCCATGAGGAATTGCTTGTCCTTTATTTCTGTTCCCCCCACGCGATGACTAACACAGGAGATGGGGTGAATTCTTCGAGACTGATGTTATTTTATTGTGGGCTTGGGATGAATCTGTCCTTCTCTTACTTGTGGCCACATGGAGCAGCTTTTTGATGCAGGTCACGGTGCCGGGAGCCGGGAGAGTGATGAGAAACACGACCCACGGGGTCCCCACCCTCGAGAGGCACGGGTGCCAGTAGCAGAGACTGACCAGATGGAAGGGGAAGCCGCCGGAAGCAGGAAACAGAGTGGCTGCTGTTTGTAATGAGTTCGTCATGACGGGAATAAGTAAGAGAGGACGGTAGCCTTACTTTGGTGAAGAGGAACTCGAAGTCTTGGTCAGTTGGTGACATGGAAAGGAACTGGGGAATCCTCCAGCGGCGGCTTGGGACAGAGGAAATGGCTGGCCCCACCCTCTACCCTCCCTGGGAGGCGCGCGGGGTTGTGCAGGGACCTGGGCTGGTCCCTGTCCAGAGTGTACTGCGGGGGAGGGGAGGCACAGCAGGAGCATCACGAGTGGAGGGGACTGTACCGTCCAGGGAGAAATGGCAGGAAAGACACAGGTTGTAGGTCTGAGGTGTTCTAAAGATAAACGTTGATTTGGATTTGCTGATGTATGTGATCAGATCTGTGGGCGCAGACGACAAAACGGGGCAGACATGTCTCTGAGGTAATGGGTGGTCGTGCACTGATCTGGGGAGATCTGGGAGAAGAGAGGCTTCGGAGGTGGGTTTTAGGTAGGAGGGGGGACTGCACCCAGCGGTTCTACTTTCTCCCCAAACCACGAGGTGACGTCCTTCCCCGAGGGAGCGTCTGTTCTGCCCGTGACGCAGACGCTAACTCGCTGGTTAGAGACCATCAACTCCCGTCTGTCAGACCATCTTGGATTTCTGCTTCTTTTGGCCACGAGTGGACTCCTATTCACCCGTGCTTTTTGCTTTTTCTTTTCTGGAAGTTGTTGGTTGTGGTAGTTTCTATTTGGGTTTTTTGTTGCTGTTGTTATGTTTTTTGGTTTTGCTTTATTTATTTATTTATTTATTTTTTTGATGAGATTTAAAATTCTGTGTCGGCGCCTGGGGCAGTGTATCGTACTTTGTGGGCAACAGCTGGCAGGGCGGTGGGCCTTGTGAAGTGGGAGAAGAGCTCGCTGGGGCTGACAGAGGGGCTTCTCGAAGGTTCGGAGGAGACGGCTGTTGGAGAAGGATCACCTGTAAGCATCGTAGAGAAGAAGAGGGATGGAGGTGGGTGTAGGCAAAGGCCCAGTTTTACCACGTGCCACACAAAATGACACTCGTTTCCACCCTCCACAGACTTAGTCCACTCGCCACGACTCTGGAGGCTGCTCTGGTGCCCTTGCTGGGCGCGGGACAGCGTGCATGAGAGTGGGGACTGCCCAAGGGGCCCGTGCTCACCTGGGCTCCATTAACTCTTTATTGTGAAATAAATTATACCCAATGATGTCTATAAAATACAGACACAGTTTAAAGCATGTAATTTCAATCATAAAATACTCAAGTCCCAACTAGTCAGCTGGGAATGAGACCACTGTCCGTTCCCTGGACAACTCTTGGGTTTTTGTCCTCAGCCCCCGTGCACAACCCTCACCCACCCTGTTAGCTCTCTGCATGGTTAGACCTCAAACATAGCTATCCCGAAATGCTGTTACCTGCTTCTGCTTATTTTTAAACTTCTTATACATGGAGATATGTTCTCTCTGTTCCCTAGTGATTATGTTTTCTGAGATTTATCCTGGCTTTTAGAGGCAAAACAGTTAACTTGCTTTCATCGATGTACACGGCTCCATGGCAGGAAGACACCCCAATTCACTAACATACCCTGCCTTTGGTGGACACGTGGTCTGTTTCCACGCTTTCTCGTTTATAAGCAATGCTGCTGGGATAGTCTTGTATCTCCAGTGCGAGACTGTGCAGATTATACGCTCGGGAGTGAGATTGCTGAATCTTGGGCTATACTCCTATTACTGGCGTATGTGTCATTGCTTTTACAGTGATTCTCCCAATTTTGGATTGCATTTCCATTACCGATAATCCCAGAGACTTTGCAAATGTGGAGGCAGAACTCCTGCCTGGTCACCTCGTGGAGACCGCTGCACTGCAGGAAATGGGGGACACTGCAGGGCAGTGACTCTGGCCGCACATTTTCCTCCTTCCATTTCTTCTTTCACTAACTCCTGTTCTCAGACAGGAGTATCTCTTACCACATGGAGGTGTTTGGGGGGCATCCTGGAGGCTGAGAATGTCTGAAAGCAGGAGGTGTGAGAGGTTAGAGGCAGAAAAGGCAGAGGGCGCTGGGGAGTCTGGAAGGCCCTGTCGAGCCCTGGACGGGAGGAGGTTGACTGGCACACATTTGGCCATAATTCCTGGACCAGAGTGGAAGGATTCTGCCGCTGGGACCTCCATAGTCCTTGTGGGGCTGCTGCGAGAGTCTCTTATCCAGAATGGACACAGAAGTGTGGGATCACTGACGGAAGTCACGCCATCCTGACGCTCGGGCCACCGTGCTTCCTGGAACGCCGGGCCGGGCACCTGCACAACCTCCCTTTCCCTGGAGGCTCAGCCCTGAGCCAGTCATGTTAGAAAAAGAGTCTAATCTTCACAAGACTCGTGAAGAGTAGGGACTGTGCTAACTTCGGGGATGAGAAAACAGAGGTTCGGGGGGGGACTTGTTTTGAGGTGGCCAAAGCAGTGCATCCCCATTGTCTAATTTCACCTGTGGAATCTGTCCCCGCTCTTTTGTCGTCCGGTCCTTTGTCACCCTGTGGCCTCAACAAGGGCGTTAGACGAAAAAGTAGCTGTTCCTGTAACCACTTGTGTAACAGTGAAAATCACCATGAGGACCCCGTCCATGCTAGTAAGAGCAGCGTTCCGGACCCCGCAGGGTCCTTCTCCCTGACCTTGTTATGGTCATTGTCTTTGTGTCTGTCTCCGAGGTCGGTGCGCACTGCCTGTGGGGTTAGCCTGCCGCTCCCGTGTGCCTATGTCTTGTAGGTCTTGGCTGTCAGGCTGGCTTCGATGTCTTGGGGGTCGTGTGTTATTTTGCTCGCGTCCCGTTTTGCTGGCCGAGATTATATTCCCCTCCTAATGCTCGGGGCTCTTAGTGGAGGCTTTCCTGGGATGTGCAAACGCACAAACTCACCCGCCCCTGGCTCTGACGATTGTTTCGGAGAAGCAGTCAGGCTTGACAGCCCACCCAGCATGCCGGTGTCCCCCGGTCCCTGGGGATGCTGCTGTCACCGCCTCCCAGGCCCTTCACTTGTCTGAGAACATCTCAGCCTGCTGACAGGGGGCGGGGGCAGAGCGAGGCCGTATCACTCAAATGTAGGGAAAATAGGAACATTTGTCTCCTTCTTGGTAGGCTCGGGACGTCCAGTCGCCACCACGTGGGGTAAACCAGGAGAAGTGGCTCAGACCTTCCCCCTGGACACCGCCCTGCTGCTTGCCACGCTGGGGCCGCTTCACCTGGTTCTCCAGTGGACCCTATGGATGTCAGGAATTTCCAGGACATGATCTGAGGCGTTGTTCTCTACGGGCAGCCCCCAGACAGGACGATGGAATGGAAAGAATCCTAAACTCTTCTCATGACAGTCATGCCCGGGAAGGCAAGTACGGGGGCCTTTGGCTTCAGTTCCTCTGGCAGCTGGTTGTTGGAACCTGGATCCTCTGCTTTCAAACTGGGGAGAGAATCTCAGAAAATAAAGTTTTCTGAGAATGGCAATAGACAAGACTCCTGAGGCTTTGCGGGGTCTAGAACAGGGGCTGGCCAGCGTTTTCGGCCGAGGGTCAGGTAGGAAATGTTTCGGGTTTTGTGGGCCCTTCTGTCCTGTGGAACATAAACCTTTGTGTGGATTTACAATCCTGTAGAAACTACAGACGCTGTTCTTAGCTTGGGATCCCTACAAAGCTGGGCCAGAGGCTGACGGGGCCTGTCGCTTGCCAACCCCAGCCCTATGAGGACACCCTCCACCTGAGAGCCACGGGATATCAGAGGAGGCGCCGTGGGGATCTGAATGCATCAGTTCTGAGAGGAGCCTTGAGCAGAGAGAGTGCATCCAGCATGACGACTCGGGAAGTAGTTTCTGGAGAACAGAAAACGAGGGAAGGGAGAGGAAGCACAGAGTGTCCAGAGCACAGGCGAGATTCCGGCGAAGTGGAGGGAACCAGGCAGAGTCTCTCTCTCCTAAGCCCGCAGACACGCCCTGCTGTGTGGCGACTGGATTTGCGTGGGGACTTGAGCGGGAATTTGTTCCCTTCTGTGGTCGCAGCTGCCGTCCTCTTTCAACCATGTCCCGTCACAGTCCTTCATCACCTTCCTGCCGCTCTCCGGCGGGTTTATGCTCTTTCCATCAGCTTCAGGATCAAAGAGAGAGCGGGAGGGCGGGAGGGAGGGAGGGAATCATTGCTGTGGGGCGTCCGAAGGCAGCGGTGGGTAGGAAGACAGCAGGAGCTGCGGGAAGTCCTCTGTGGGTTGCGAAGTAAATGCAGGAATACCAGTCATGTAACTCTCATCAAAACACAAACCATTTTCATGCCCAGATCATCAGAAATGGTTCAAGGCAGAGAAGGGGAAAATCCAAACAGGAGCTGAGAGGTAATACATGTCCAGGAGAAAAGGAGGAAGGACGCTCCTGTGCTAAGCCAGGTGGGAACACAGGGCAACAGGCTACTCCTCGCTAGAAGATAATTTGTAAGGCAGATTTTGAAATACCCTAGAAATAGCGGCCATCCCAAGAAAGACCCATTTCCCCAGAATTCTGGAAGAGCCCTGAACCGAGAGCTGAAGTATCTTGGCTTTGGTCTTTAGCCGGCTCCTTCCCAGCCGAGGCTGCAAGCCAGTTAGCTCAGCTGAGTCTGTTTCCTCATCGATGAGATGGAGATAATAGGGTTGTTGTTGTTGTTTGTTTGTTTTTTTCTATTTCATTCCACTGTTTGGATTTGCACATGGGCACAAAAGCACTTTGTAGAGTATTAAGAACTATGATTATGGCAGAGATATTATTAGTTTCAGTATTTTATTCTTACTTATTAGTGTTTCAGTAGTGGACTGACTTTCCTGGTATACCGCCTGCTGTGTCCTGGGATGGACGGGTTTCCCAGGGAAGACCTGCCTGTCAAATTTCTGCAGAATTGGACTGTGACAACATGATTAAATCATTTCCAGGGATCTGAAGTCTCTAGAGTCCTCAGGTTATGAAAATAAGAAACATTAAAACCAAATGTACCAAGGACGGGACCTGAGTCACCCGTGGGCATCCTCACTCCTGATTAGCTTGTCCCCTGGCCATGTCTTCAGGGAAAACAGCAGAGTTGCCCTGAAGGTGTCTGGAGAGCTTGGGGTCACCACGAAAGCAGCAAATGCCTGTCAGGAGAACACCAGATGGGAGCAAGGCATTCAGAAGAGAGGAAAGGTCTTGGGCACGGGGCTTCACAATTATGATGGAGGCTGATTTGTTCTGCCCAGATGTAGGGTGTTTGAGAGATGACAGCTGGTGACCTTTCTTCCTTTGACTTCCTTCCTGGGGCCGTGTTTCCCCAAACACATATTCTTAGAACAGGATCCTGACAAACCCTCTTGAAGCTATGATGACGTAGACTGATAAGTTTCCACCAAAAATTCATGCTCCCCTTCCAAGGGCCGCCTTTTGTGACAGCTTGTGTCTGGATGGGTCTAGATGACAAGGCACGTGAGTGGATTGATGTGTCCTTACAGCCGAGGTGGTTCAAAACCCTTTTGTCTGCTTTCTCTTAAAAAGAAAATGACACCAAGTCTTGAAGATGAAATGGTCCCCAGATGGAAGGATACAGGGGATCTGGGTCACTACTTGAAGGAGAGCTGCCCGGTTGAGAACACTTTCAAGGGACTGGAATGTGAGCAACAAGCCCATGTTCCAGTGGGATTTGGGGTTTTCTGGGGCAGCAGCTATTGGCACGTGGATTAATATGGTCTCTGACCTTCTCAAACCTTCCCAGACTGTTCTGTTCTCCGTATATGGGATCAACTAGACTTTTCTGTTGTGCTTGTCCTCTCCTTCCTCTCTCCGGATTCTTTCTACCCTCCCTGCTGTCATGTCCTCAGATGAATAATGAGAGAAACAAAGAGCAGAGGGAACAGAGCAACAATGATTGTTTCATTCATGAATTCTTTTCTTCACCCCTTCACTTCTTTCCCTCTACGTGACTTGACAGCATGGCCATAGCCCAGGAGTTGGATGGGGCCCAGGGACGGATGTTGGTGGGCACTTGGTCTAAGCTCCTGTGCTGGGTGGCAGGAAAGACCATAAGTTTCCTTGGTGGGACTCCATATTGAGAGCAGAGAGGAAAAGTGTTTGCCACCACTTTACACCTAGGGGGTTTGTTTCTTCTTCTTTTCTTATGTTCCATTTGGCAGTGCGCCCTTGAAATGTAGGATTTGTCGGTAGAGCACCCTATGGTCGTTACCTGGTTTATCAGGTTGACCCCGGAAGACCAGAGAGTTGTTCCCACCTAAAATCATGCTGGGTGCACAGAGCCCAGGTTTAAATACTTGGATAGAAGAGAAACTGGAAGCTGAAATCACCCATACTCGGCTAATAAATAAAAACCTAGGAAAGAAAACCAAACAAAAATGGGCTCTTACAGAAGCACACCAGACTTGTCCCTGAGATCTCATAATTTTCCTTACTTAGGGGCTTGTGCTCACGGGTACACTCACAGTATCAAGTAGTTTGTACTCAGGGCGTCTGTCACTTGAGTAGCCGAGTTTGGTAAGCCTGGTTTCTAAGCAAGGAAATCCCTCCCCAGTCCCATGAGTGACTAAGCAGCTTAAACAGAACAGGGAATGGGGTGTGAGGGCTCCCTCCACAGCTCCTACTGCTCGTTTCTAGAGGAGCTAGAGAGTCCCATCCATCTTGAATCAGTCTTTAACTTTTCCGTTGCCAAACACGTGGTTCCTGGGGACAGAGCGTGACGAGCTGGATTCTGACAGGACTCTGGTTGGAATCCTGACGCTGCCACTTACTGTCTCTGGGACTTGGGGCCAATTACCTCAGTTTCCCCATCAGTCATGGGGATAATCATATGACCTACCACAGAGAGTTGCCCTAGGGATTAAATGAACTAATAGATGTGAATCGTTATAACGATAATGGCTCAATCACAATCGGCCATCACTATTGTTTTAATGTTGTGGGTTAAATGCATTTCCTCCTCTTTGGGCTTTTTTTGGAAGGGAACACAGCTGATCGTGCCCTTGGACACTTGCCTCCATGTGAACACAGCTGACACGGTGTGTTACGTCAGCTTTGGGTATACGACATGGTGACTCGACCAGTCTGTGCGTCATGCCAGGCGTAACTAGGCTTTTCCTTTCAGCAGCACAGTCAGGTGCAAGGCTTTTCTCTTGCATTCAGTTCTGCCCCTTCTCTCCATAGATTCTCCCCATCTTCCCCGGAATCCTGGCCCCACCCTGCTGGCCATTACCCACGCGCACATCCAAGCCTGGAGGTCTGGCTCAAGAACAAGGCACACCACGTACGGACCCCAGCATAAGCGAAAGTGCTCGGAGATTAGTTTTCATCACGAGAAAAAAATATTTGTAACTGTGTGACGGATGTCAACTAGATTTCTTGTGGTTATCATTTTCAATGTATACAAATATTCAGTTATTAAAGAGTTACAACGGTGGGGGAGATTTTGAAGTTGGTGTAGGGTTACGGACTACCTCGCATTTTCCCCAGCCAGCTCTGTGGCAGCTGACAGTTAAGTCTAGGAGCAAATGACAGAACGACAGCTGTGACAATACCACAGGCCCTTAGAAAGGGGACTGGCCCCCTGAGCAAGCGGCCCAACGCTCCTTGTGCAAGACAGACTGCACGTGCCCGGTCTTCCAGGCTCCTGTGAGCTCCTGTGAGCCAGGCTCCTAGAGGCTGCGGCAAGCTAGCTGGGTGGCCTGTATGGTAGGTAACGTGTGACTGTCCCGGAAAAGGAGTGATTTCAAGTGTCTTTTGCACACAGGACTCTGAACATCTTTTGGGGGCATGTTTTCTAAGTATAAAAAGGACTCAGGGAAATGAGTTGTTTCATTATAGGTGTTATAATTTTGAGATTATTGTATGTGTGTTGTAGAATAAACCAAATAAGTAAAAGCTGTTGGTGATATTAGAATCCAAGGTTTTCATTTCATATATACACACATTTTTTTTTTTTCTGCAAAAAGCTTTATTGCTTCCATGTGGCCCACAGCTTGGGAAAGGGCTCAGGGGAGTTAAAAAGCTGCCTCACGGCCATAGGGAGAGGCTCAGGCACAAGCCTTGGCACCAGAGGGAGGCTGGGGGGGGGGGCCCTCGGAGGCTGCTTGCCTCCAGAGGCTCCTAGTCACCCTTGGGGGTGAGCCTTCTGCAGAGATGCTTGCCCAGCTCCGCC